CTTCGGGGAACCCTTTCGTTTCGTCATTTATGGTTTTACTTTCGCTATTTTTGCCTAATAGATCTTATAGTTTCATTGGAAAAAATTAACAATATAAAACTCAGTGAACACGATCAAATATCAACTTGATAATATTAGAATTAAATATCAATGAAATTCATGCTTTTACAACACCGGTAATTTCCCCTAATAATGATAGATATGACTTGATGATGAACACGTATGGAAACACGACGAAGGGATTTTCCACTATCCGAACAATAAATGGCATGTGTGTGTGGCGCCATGATATATAAATAGGATGATGTGATGGAGATTGGTTTCGACTGTATAGCTAATGAATTTCGATTTCAAACTCTAGGAACATCATCAACGCCATTGGGTTTTAAACGCATTTGATTGGTCCAGGCTATTACTGTGGCGTCACTACATCTTTTATATTTTCATTTCAGATTTTCCAACGAGTACAGCAGGTTCACTGTCAGCTTCTAGTACGAATTTGCAAGTGTTAGGTTTAAATGGCCATCATTACCAACCAGGTAAGCGTCATCTTTGAATCTCGAATTCCAATGAACGAGAAGGTAAATTTGATGAAACACTCGGACACAAATATCCAGTTCTACCGTAACCCCAAAATGCGTCCGCTGCGCATTTCGGCCGTTGTTGAGACTCCGATGCGACAATCTGATCTTACACCATCAAACTTACCCCAGAACAACGACAAAACTTGTCTGACATACTGTCATACTATCACAAAACTTTGGTTATACCAAAGGTATCCAGGTCAGATGTTGGAACTGAGGTCGCCGTGCCGAACGCCGTACATGATACACCGCGTCCCGCCGCGTCTCAAATTTCTGTCGAACCAAGTACCGCTGAACGTCAAATGTCCACAGTTACAAGTAGTATGACGAGTCACAAAACCGGTTTATTTCACAACTGTACTTTCAATGGGCAAATTACAATCCAAATTGTACAAAAACCGGAATGAAAACGTGGAAAATCCGTTGTTTTAATGATCCAAACTGTACACGACCCTGTATTTCAAATCGCGTTGACACAGTCAGTAAAAGGTCAGAAAGGTCATCTTCTGTTAGGCTAATTTGTGTGTTTACGCTGCTCTATTCACCGTAGATACCGTGACGTTTCTTTTTCACGCGGAATAAAAATTAGTTTGTATTCAATTTGAACTGTGTTGCGCATGTAATTTTTGTATTCATTCAGCGTACAACTACATACTATTCTTATAAATATTCATGTTCAAGGGCCATAATCATGATCTTTTAGTAGATGAAAGTAAACTCTTTTTTACTAGTTTTATCGAACTGTCAATATACTGGTATGATATAATAGCAATAACCCCCACCCCACCGAAGTTGGGTATACCACTTGATATATATAGCAATATCTCGTGGTATACCCGCATTCGCCGGGGGGGGGGGTATTGCTTAAATAAACTATCATCTTTTCATTTATTGTATTTTTCTTGTACTTACAGTGTCTGCGGTGTGGACACTTTGCGTACAGTGGGCACCGGTTGCCATAGTGACAATATTTCTCTCCTGCTTTGGCGTCATCTTGTGGTGGTCTTTGCGCCACCACAGGAGAACAACAGAACACAAATCTCACCCGCCGTCGTATAGTAAAAGTGAAAACTTGAAATTGTCATCACGTGGTAAGACAATCTTGGTTGCTATATATCATAACTAATAATTATAATATTCGATGAAGGATACAAGCGAGGTCAAAGAATTGATAGTATTCCAACCGATGCAAAAAACCGTGATGGGCAAACAGTTCGTCAACCAACGGCATTACTGTTGTATTGTTAAATGTATTATAATATATTTAATGTTTCATACAATATTCTATTATTTCGGTTCCAGGTACGTGTATTGAAGTGGTTCCAGGGAAAGACGTGCCTTCTGAAGGAGTGGCATATTCAGGCTGCTCACTGCGAGTAGACATCGACGGGACTTCCGATGATGTGAAAACTACAATAACAAATGAACACCTCAGTGGTCCAGAAAATGAGCGTTCTATCCACGCAACCGCCACGACGAAGGATAGTTCTTGCCGTCGGTCGAAGATACTCTTTGGTGATAGTAGCAGTGACGTCAGCGACGGATCGCCGAGTACGATTTTAGAGATAGGAGAAGACGATGAGGCGGATAATGAGACGAGGCGCGAAATCGTTGATAATATTGTTGGTAGTGATAACGGAGTTCACCTTGACAACGACGTTCATTGCATCGACGGACACGATCTAACAGCATTAGAAACCACAATTTGAAAAATGTATTTGCCAAGGAGGCCGCGTAATATTTTTGAGACTTATTTCATGGTTACGGGAGTTCAGTGTGATGGGAAACGAGACAACATGTCAACCATGCATGTAACAGCCACTGTGAATAATAAAGAACGTGATAAATCAGTCACTACGATCGGTCCGATTATGATGTTTACTGTAACATAATTTTACGGACACGCCACAATGTTATTTTTCGCTTTCCTCTGAAATTTCTTACTCTTACATTCAGTGAATACAGCAAGAAACCGTTTTAAGGCAGTAGTGTGACGCAGCTAAATCGTCGTTTTGTACATACATACCTATTTGGACACGAGCGGATTATATTTAGTGCAGTTTTGTCAATTTATTCATAATCAAAATATTGATATACATATCAGTTTTACACAAATAAGACACAGTTGAGTTTTTTGTTTTCAAACTATCAGCGCGTATGCATAGCTTGCCCTTTGTAGCTTGCATTGTGTATTGTCATCACTGGGGATTTCCCCCTCAATCAAGACATCGTTGTTATATGCAACACGTGATAACGACAAGGGATTTTCCCACCAGGGAATCCCCGGTTGAATCAACTTCTAACGGCGGG